TACCTTCTGAGGATGTGCTTGGAGCCCCACTGGGCCAGAGAATGCTTTGCTGGAATATGTCACCATAAAAGAGATTGGCCCCTCGTTCGCTCAAAACAACACACACGTGACCGTAAAGCAATGAAAGCCAAGGCCATGCCGCCCACACACCACCGAAGCAAATGCATTTGTGGCTCTCTTGGAACTGGAAAGCCTCCATCATCGTCTCGTCAATCGCCATGTGTGCTTCCTGCCCCCACCGGACTATGTCGAAGACCCATCCAGCCACAACACACGAATCCGTACAGCACATGAACACATGCATACTGATGCACCTTTGTGTCATACGACCAAAAATGAACCCCCGCGGAAAAGACGCGTGCGCGACACGTGCGCCATCTGTGCCTGTCATGGCAACGTCTGGGTCCAAGTCCCAAGCGTTCCAACCGTTCAGTGATGGTCAAAGTGACCATCATCTGAAAATCCTAGTGTCGTTGACCCGCCTGCGAGATCACAGGCATCTCTTCGGTGGCCGTGCCGTGTTGCCGCTCGATCTCCTTCTCGGGGAAAGGCCTCCAAAAAAACCGTACCTGTCTCGAACCTGCCTGTGTTGGGAGTTGCCTGTCTGATGTCAACGACTGAGAAGATTACAAACATATACAAGGTGCTCACTGGCAAAAATCTACAGCCATTGAGAACCCGAGATCTCTGCACAATGCAGTTTGCTGGCACACACCAAACCCTCCCCAAACCCACCGCAGGTCACAAAGCCTAAGAGATGTGCACCCCACGTAACACAATGCTTAGCACATAGGATTTGGGTAGTTCCTAACATCTCCAAACTAAAAGCTATGGCCACCTACAGCAGTCACGAGCGAGCCTTGCTCAAAACACTGTGGCACACATACAACTGTATACAAAAGGCACCTTGCTTCATTGCTTCGGCACCCAGTTGCAAGTGCTCCCTCGGCTTCCTTGAGGCTTGACCCCGCGACCTGCAGCCCAGGCACACCGAGTGCGACACGACGCCATCGCCCTCGTCGAGCTTCATGGCCTTAGGTGAGCAACGTTGGGAGTGGACGCAGCAGGTGGGGCACACATCTGTTTGGTGACGTAAAAGCGTGTTTTGGGATGTGTTGGGCAGTTCTTTTCTTTCAACATGCTGGAGATGCTCGGCTAATACTAGACTCACTTGTTTTTGTTTTATCTTTACTAGCGCGGTCTCTCTCTCTCTCCCTCTCTCCCTCCCTCCCTCTCCCTCTCTCTCAATGTGTCCCGGTCTCTTTCTCTCTGTGGGCTTAGACACGTTGGCTTGCTTGTGACGCTTTGGGAAACCTACATGATTTAGTTCAGAGGAGCTCGAAACTCTGGACAACCTTGGGGAGGCCAGAGTAATGTTTCCAAGCCTCGAACCAAGTATGACCTGATTGTTGACGATAGGGAGTTGGAAGGGCGTAAGACTAAGATGTCATTCAAATGTTGTCCTCCTCAGGCGAAAAACATGTCAAGTTGACATGCTCTTTTTTTTTTGGTGACCAAACTCTGACCGACCCCATGTTTTTGGAATGAACACTGAGAAGTAAGCAACTGACTGCAATAGTTCGAAACAGCATGCTGAGTTAGCAGGGTGACCCGAAACGTGTCAAAGATGACAAAACCTCCAAAAACTGTCTGGACGTCAACTGGATGATGGTAAACAAACCTTTTTGGTGGTATTTTGGCAAATTTTGCAGGCTTCTCATTATTCTGGCGCCAAGTTGCCACCTCATGATATTCAGGCCTGCGAGCAGTGGTGAGACAAACACCGAAATTGCACACCGGGTCCTGGTGACTTTCTGGCTGTGAGTGCAGTTTAAGGACAACATCAACGATCACCAACCACCAACCGCCAGCACCACCACTCTGGCCGCGTTGATCCTAGCTGTGCCAAAACAGCATGGAGACTTGCAAAGGGTCGTCACCTTTCCAGAAAGCTCAGCATCTTGTGTCCATACCAATGGTGCTTCCCATTCCAGTCCATACCAATTCACAACAACATCCCCAACCGGATGGGCGTGATGGGCGTCTTCGCTCGCCTGATTTCGCTGAGGAGGAGCTCCACCGACTCTTGCCTTTCTGGCGCCAGATCGCCCATCTCACGGCACTGGCGGTGTATGTCAACCAGGTAGGGTACTTGAAGGTGCCCTACCTACATACGACATCTGTTTATACATATATATATATTAAAAGATTATATATATTTATATATACATGTAAAAACTTATACATTATACACATTGCACGTTGACATTATTATACATATATATATATATATATACATGTTGCCGTTCTTTGTTTTCCACTCCCTGGAACTAACATGGAAGTGGAATATAGGAATATGGACTCTGGGAAGACTATTTTCCGCTACCAACTACCAACACGGGGGTTTCCACTTCCATGTTAGTTTCAATTTGTGTATTGTTAAATCATCTTCATGTGCGTGTGAGGTAAAACTGTAAATATGTGCATTATGTAAATTATATTTGATCATCTGGTGTGTGTGTGTGTGTTTGCCCGGACCTGCCCAAATGTGACCAAAAGCGGGAAAGCCTATCTTTGACCTTAAATGCATGACAATGTAAGAAGAATTGAACTGCACTTCTCTCAGTGGCTTAGTCTTACCAAACTGCCATCTCCGGACATCCGGGTCTAAGTCTAACACGTTAAGGGCCACAGTCTTGTCACATTCCCAGGAGCACATGGCGCCGAAGTCCACCGTCCTGCTGCGTTGTCACTGGTGTGTGTCGCCCTGAATTCACGTACACGTGTTATTGGCTGCGGCATCGTCAATTGGGTCGCAAGAGCGTGGTGCCTTCTAAAAAAAGGCTTTGCATCCTGGGGTGTGGACGAGCACATACGAGCACCATGGGGCCCATACAAGGAGATTGAGGAAGGTGTATTGTACGATCTCCAACCTTCGCGCCATGTGTGCTGGGTGGATCTCAATGTTTTTAGCCTGGCACTTTCCCAAAGTTCCGTTTCATGTGGGTCTTATGGACACCCAAACTGACACCTGCCCCAACAAAAACGGCAGTGTAGGACTGTTCCCAAGTGGCTGTGACAAGCATGGGGGATGCAGCCCAGTGACCAACGCAAATACTGTTCCCTCAAAATAGCCATGCATTGAAGAGACTCCTCGCTGGCGCGGGCCATGGCGCAATTTGTTGCCTAACTGGCGGGTTTCGATCGATTTCCCATGTGGGGCCCACTGGTGGGATCAGCAGGACCATAGGAGAGTTTAGAGCTCCAGGTTTTGACCCACCATCATGTGTGTGCCGGCATTCCCTCAGACTGTCCGTCTCAGGACGTCCTTTGCCCACCGGCCACGGTAAGGCTGTGTGAGGGTTGCCCGGATGCTTTGGCCATCGTTCGTCGGCTGTGCATCAACAAGATCACTTGAAAGAGCTGCCCAACTCCCACATCAAGACAAGAATCTCAACCACTACCCACGAAATGACTAAAAATACAATAGGAGAGGACCACTTGAACACCACAATGAAGGGTCTCCAGCCGCCCCAATGGCCAAAAAGGAAGCATGGCCAGCTACCCGATTGCTAAGCATTCAGAATGGAGAACTCTTTTCTGTCGGGTCCGTCAAGGCCGATGTTTCTGGGACGAGCCGGCCTGCCTGTCAGGCCGTTGGCGGCCACGAGCTCATCCGTTGGACTCACATGGATTTTGGAGGAAACCATATCCACGTTCAAATCCACTTCAGACAAAGACCCCTCCTGCTGCTGCTTCTGCACTGCCTGCAGACAAGCTTGGACGTCCCTGTACATGTCTGAACAACTGCTTATGGCATCATTATTCACTGGCATGCTGCATCTTGGATGGAATGCTGAACATTTCGAGCAAGGACTGCAGTTCTATCTTTCTCTCCCGCTTGCTCGCTCCTCTCTCTTGTTTCTCTTCCATTGTCACTGTACACCTGCCCCAGTTTCCGGCCTCGATTGCATTTTCCACTTCCTGCTCCGTGAGCAATCTCTTGGGAGTCGCCATGGCGCCGCCGCAGGACACGACTACGCCGTTGGGCGAGGAGCCGCGACCCACGGTGTGGGGTGAGATGAAAGCACGGCAGGGGGAGAGGCTTCACACTCGCACCCGAGCAAGGTGGGTTGATCTCAACCTGCAAGGTATACAGCCACGATCACATCCCATAGAATGCTGCAAGTGCTAATTGGGTAGTATGTATAATATTATTTAATATACTCCTGGCCGCTCATGTGCAGAAAATCTTCTCGAAGGATCAGTTGCCAGAAGTGAGATCAGACGTACAGTTCCTGCACAGTCTGTCTGTGGCCAGCTCTTGTTCCTGTTCATGTTCCGTTCTTCCCCTAGAGCCTGGATCTCGATTTGAGGAAGCAAATCTTTAAGGCCCCACTTTCGAACGACTTCTGCTCACAGCCAACAGGGACACACCACTCACCAAAGCACGCGAACACTCATGTGCGCCAATGGAAGCCCAACAAGTGTTCACATGCTTTTGGCATCAAATGAACCCAGGCCCTCAGCCAGTGGCTCCTCCGCTCTCACCAAAAAAGTCTGGCACAGCCCCTTCTAGATGACTCAGAGGCTTAGAGAGTTTCCCAAGAGTATACGAGCAAATTAGACCCCAGAAACCACCTCACAAGATGGAGTACACATGAAAACTTAGTGGCTGGAGCTCTTTTCGGGTCTCATGCTTAAAAAGGAACTCCTTCGTTCCTTCTGCGCTGTCCCTGTCACCCATCCTCCGACTCCACATGGAAATTCCACGATTCTTCTCGAGCTACGTCGGAACAAAACGCTCCGAGGCCACAATTCCCAACACCGAATTCGCCATGGACCTAATCATCATTGAACTCGGCTGTTGTGACCCAAGAATACCCAAGAATGATGTGCTTTCCTCATCTTTCCTCCAACCCTCACCGGCCCATGACTGTCATTCTCTCACGCAGATCACGCCGTCACGCCGTCACCTTGCTCTCCTCCTGCCGAGGGGCTGATGCCGTGGGGCTGATTCCGTGGGGCCCCGTGAAGCTGTCGCGCCGCACTGGGCGCCGTGGGCAGCAGCACTCGAAGCCTGGCGCAGCGCAGGGTGAGGATGAGGTGCTTGGTGTTGGGGATCCATGGCGATGGAAATTGAAAGGGAAAGGAAAAGATGGAAAGAAAGGGGAGAGGGGATTTGGTCGGAGATGCCGTAATTCTGGAGTGATTTAGGGAGCAATGCATCACCTTGGCAAGGCACTCAGCAGCTATCAATGAAGAGATGTTAATGAGTCAGTACGCAAGTGCCATTGGTCCCAAAACACCAAATACACCTGGCTTACAGCACATCCTTGACTAAGATTGACGAGCTCAGGCTCCGGTCCATACAACTGGTACAACATATACTGTAAATGCCTCATCATCTACAAAACCTCAATTGAGACATACTAAGACCACCCGCGACTTGATGTCTATTCCTGAGGTGCCCGGACACCGGCCAAAGGCATGCAAGTAGACCAGCCTCAACACTACGTTCGACGCACAATTCTCAATCGGGATGAATGATTATGTAGTTTACTGTGTGTAGTCTTTGCGTCTTTCTGGAGGGTCTGTGGAACTTGTTTCGATCAGGCTTCCAGCAGAACCGGGTCAACGATGCTGGGCTTGGCGTTAGCACAGGTAGGGAGAAGGAACATGAAAAAGTTAACTGCATGTTGAGCATCGACAACGGCGGAGGAATTGCATCGTCTGAGCATCAACCTGCACAACCCAAAGAAAACATTCAAATAATGACTATTATTGATCCTCCAGTTCATTTAGATGAATCGGCGGGGTGGAGGGTGATCACCCCACCCCACCCCAAGAAGAGGTTCCCGTGTGAACACGTAATTAAGCTGGCCCTAAGAGCTAATATGGACCCAGTATGGTTGAGATTGGTTGGGGAGACGTATTTGGGCACTGTCAGCTCGAGGACACTTAGCAAACCCGGTGCCCCCTGCATCCTGAACAAGAACCAGGATGCCCCCCCAACCCTTCTTACAAAACACAGGTCCAATCTGCCAGCTTATCCACTCGCACATGATTACTCGCACCCCACATGGACCATGTCATGACCCATCTGCCATTCATGAACCCTTTGAAAATTCGGACACGCACTTCCTACCACCACCGAGGAAATCCGCTTCTTCCACCGATCTCCGATCCCTGAACGCAGCATGCAGGACTGCTTGTATGGAAACATGTATGTCAAATAGATGGATGATATGTCCATGAAACAGCTAGTGGATATTCTTGGGTAGATCGGCCGAGGCGGCGATGTTGCACGAGGTGCAAACCCCGAAAGTGGGATTAGCTCTTCTGAGGGGCCTCTGGTCTACTTCAGGGAGGTGATTTGGGGATTCTGACCTGCAATTCTAGATCTGAAGCATTCGAACATCGTCAACCCTTGCTGAAAGTTATGACCCCCGTGGACGACCCACCAAACTCTCCACCAAACAGAGAATCGGATGTCAGACTCCTCCAAAACTGGAGGCTTAACACTAACTCAGACTAACTTGAACCGTATAACTCTAACACATAAACTCTAACTGCATGTAACTCACTACTCCGCTGAAGCCATATCCTCCCCGCCCCATCCCGTCCCCCTCTTCGCTCGTCCATCGGAGCCGTCGGATCCCAGCGTGGCTCGGCCGAGGGGCCGGTGGAACAGATCTGGTGGGTCGTGAGGTCTGATCATTTGGAGCATCGGCTTGCAACTGACCGGTTGAGCAGTTGGGAGGAAAGTCATAAGTTCACTATATAATTAAGGTAGAACACCTTCCCTTATCTTCCCTGTCAGTTCTCCAAACGAGGCTGCGGCTGCTGACGCTGCTCAACGTGTGCTTCATTGGCTGGTTGGCTGATCCGGGGCCAAGAGCCTGCTTCTCTGATGCCAACCGCCCGCTTTTTGCCGCCTCGGCACACGGCCTGACTGCCAGTGCGCCAGCGTATCATAACTTCACACGAAGGGGGTGTCCTGCACCTCCACTCAAAGCAACAGCACCTCACGCTCCAACATCTATTCCTGTGGATCCACATACCTTCTGCGAAGGTGATTGGAGACTATTTAAGTAGGCTTGGAGGACCCAAACACTTTCTGAGAAGGTATGTGGATCCATAGGGTATGGCAATCTATCTGGATTGAGACGTGATGTTGCCCGCGCCAACACAGCGGGATACAGCCTGCATTGCCTGCTTACCCACCGTGCTGCGCCTCCGACATCTGTTCGGCATGGGACACCCCGTGCTTTGGTGTGACCGTCGCATTAGCGCATCGTCTGGGCTCTGCGCGTCGTCGCTTGGAGTTGATTAGGACACAATTGAAGGATCACGGAAACATGCGAAACGTGCCAGAAGTATGTTGCGAAACTCTTGGCATATGTTTTGCTCCGCCAAATTCGCCATAATTATGTATCTGTTGGTGGTTGGTCATCAGCCTCTCCAAAGTATATATGGCGAAGACTATCCAATCGAAGTTGTTGAAGATCGGAGCCCAGATAGTGACTTGAGTTTTGAAGTCACTCTTGGAGTTGATATATACAGTTGGGAAAGGTGGTGGCACCGTCATTGGACGGCCCAGCCAAACAAGGCACAAATCGTGGCCCTTTCAAAACACCAGAAAACAAAAGCCCCTGCACTGACGTTGCGGTGCTCATAACCTATCCACTTAGACCAGGCATCCGCTGCTCAGATTCAGAATGTGGCTGGAGCAGTACCAAACCCCAACAAGGCGGATGGTGCAGACCAAGAGGATGGTGACGCCAAAGCTGAAGTTAGTTGCCAGTACACCTTGGCGAACTCAGATAGGCAGGCTATGGCTATCGCATGGGTCGAAAGCGTGTTAGCACTGAAAAAGCTCAAAAGTGACAGGGCTTGCTGTTTGTGGGCCTCCATGGGTCAAGCCTGAAGGTCCCACCACAGGGGGGTGATGTTGACCCAGTCACATCAGTCAAAGCATCAAATGTGTGGTAACATGACAACCTCTTGTACAAATCACGTTCTTCTCGGGCCACATTACCGGTGAATTCCTCTGACTAGCGAACATGGGCGTCAAAAACGGTCAAGCTTGCAGTAGCTGCAGTCTCTCCCCTGGCGCTTATCAGCAAGCAAGCAAGGTACCCCAAGCAAAAAATAAATATCAAAAAAACGGGGTTGAAGAGGCCACCATTTTACCATGTCCCACCCCCACGCCCATATTTGGCTCACGTGCCCAGTGGACGGGAAACATCAGGAGAAGCTCCCTCAACGCTCTCAAGTGTTGCACTGGTTGGAAAAACAGAGCACATTAAAGACACACCGCGCCAAGGTGTGACTTATACAAGCCACATGCGAGGCTGAAGGGACTGCCCTGCAGCCGCAAACCGGTACATTTTGGCAAATTGACACAGCGCCAGGCAGCAAGACGGCCAAACCCTGGTCAACAGCAATTGCTAAGCCAAAGGGTTGGCATTGAGTTCTTGAAGAGTAAGACATTTGTCTATAAATCTAAACATATTAAAGAAATTTAAAGAATACTATATATATATATAACAACGCATCACCACTAACTATAGCTGTATATATGGACTAAGATCTGGTAGTTCTGCTAGTCATCCATGTCGCATCGTGTCGCGGTGCCTCGCTCGATGGCACATTGCTTGGTGGTCAAGGGCTGAGTCTGTGCGACCCCATGTTGATCTATGGCATCTATAGGGGTCATGTCTGGTGCAAAAACAAGGTGCTGTCTAAAGCATGGTGCTGTCTAATTGACAGCAGGATACGGTAGTACTCGTTATATCCAGACCACGGATTCTCGCGGTCGGTTCTGAGACACCGCCAGACCAAGAATATGTTTTTTGATGATGTTCATGTAAGAACCTGAATGGTTCCAAACCAGCTGCAAGAACGTTTTCACCCCCTCACGCTTCGATATGTCTACAAAGATGGACGTGCTAAGAAGAACGGAAAGCCGCTACTGCATCTTGACAGCAGTTTGATCGAGGAAAAGAAAAAGACAACACGGGGCAACTGATCCCTCTTTTGCTACCAGGGAACAGCACATCGAGACAAATGTCACCGCAGGGCTTTTGGCCGTGGCGGAGTCCCAGGTCAAGGACAGCAAAGAAATCTGTAGCCAAAGCGCTGGCAAAGCCTCCCCGACAATCTTGGTTCCTCGCAGCCCGAGCCAGTCGACAGCCCGACCATGAGAACAAACACCATGATGGACACGAAGCAACCCCTGTGAGATCAAAACCACAAGACGAATTGCACAAGGAAAACGGTTCATGGCGACATTCCGGATCTCTCGTTTATCTAAAAAGCGCTTAGTTTGTAGCACAAATCGCCGGAAAACAATAAGTCTGCTCTCAACGAGCAAGCATCGAAATGAAGCATTCCGATCGGGCACGGGCCAAATCTTCTCGGACAAATCAATCTCCACTTGCACAAGCTCTCGGAAAACATCATGAAGCAACATCAAGCTGCCAACATCACACATGTGGCTCATGTAGATCCAAGCAGTCCATCTGCTTGTTGCGGCCTCATCCAAATCTGTGTTCTGGAAAGACTGCTTGACGAGACCCAAGGTGCTATGAACCTGAGATAACCTGAGCTTCCTTGCGAAGAAAGGAGAAGACTTGCCAAATCGTTGTGCAGCACAAGAAGATCAACAAAATCCTTGGCAAACCAATCGATCCAATGGTGTGACCCACCAATGGAGTTGTCTCCCATGCAGCCGCAAACTTCTCTCGCACGGGAGCTGTGCACATCTCTTCGGAATTGGCAGCAGTCCAAGCGTCCATGGCTGGATCCAGCGTCTCTGAAAGGGTCACTAAATAGATCCAGAGTTCATGCATTGTGAGGGCACCTAGAGTCTTCCAGGTGTCAACCGCCTGAATGTGGGGCTGCCAACCCTGATCCAAATGTTGGCGAACCCACTCTGCCACTTCCCAGCGGAGGTGCATCTGTGCGATGAAGGAACCCAGCAATTGCAAGATGGTCGCAGCGATGACCAGTCGGGTACAGCGCAGCTGGGCCAGGGCGAAGACCAACGGGATCACGGCAAACTGCGCTAGGCCCATCCTGTGTTCGGTTGAACAAGCACACCATGAACACCCTCACATGTCCTCAAGATTTTGAAAATGCAATTCTAGTAATGAGAATCAATAAGACAAATCGATTGAAATTCAAGAACTCAAGCATCCACTTGCATCTTTGGACGGCATACTCTAGGAAATCCAAGTCATCATCCTCAGAGTCGCTCCCGTCACCACTACTTTGGCTTGTCTTGCTGGCACTGGTAGCTGCACTACTTCGGCTAAACCTGCTCGAGCGGCTGCGATCGACTGCCACAAGTCTACAAGACATTTCCATGGCCGAAGGGAAGATGCTACCTTACTACCCGGGTCTCTCTTAAAATGATGGCATGCCACAATGGCTTTATAATACTGGTAGATGAACGGGCTTACCCCTGGGGGGGCCTGATCCTGGAATGACACATTCAGC